CTTTAAGTTACTGCATGGGAGATGAGGCGGACGATGTGCTTCGCGGTCTGAGTTTAACAGCTGAGCAACGTATGTGGGGGTACGTGATGGATTCCAGGCTTTTTTCATTGTGAAGAAGAATGTGATCCACAAACATGCCAAATTCAACATGCGCCGACAGGGAGAAAATGAGACGGTGGATGCTTCTGTGACTGCACTGTATGCACTAGCAGAACACATGATGCTACATGATGAATTGATACGTGACAGGCTCGTTGTCGGTCTCACGGACAAACGGTCAGAACGCACGCGGCTTAACCCAGATTTGACCCTGCAGAAGGCAATCACCATGGCGAGGCAAAGTGAAGATGTAAAGCGACAACAATCCTCCTTATAAGGTGACTCTAGAGCTGAGGCTAGCGATGCTCAGTCCGTAGATAGAGTGCATAAAATTAGTCGTAAGCCTGTTAGAACCAAAACCTCTCCAGAATGATAGTCGTCAAGCTAAAACACGTGGGTTCTGAGAAGACAGCAAGAAAGGGGCAACGTGTCAAAAATGTGGCGGCGCTCCATCATATTCAAAGCAAGATTGTCCTGCACATGAAGTAAAATGCCATGCATGTGGGAAAAAGGACATTACAGGCGCATATGCAGGGCACCCAAAACTGTGCATGAGGTCGAAGAGTTCCTTGGTAGCATTAAGTGTGAGGATGAACCGTGGAATGTTGCCTTAAGCATAAATAACAAGAACGTGTCATTTAAAATTGATATGCGTGCTGATGTGACAGTCCTACACCTTAAAGTGTTTAAGGAACTCTACAGGCACAACCACCCCCCCAGTCTCCACAAACCAACCAAGGCTCTGCTGGGTCTTTGGTGTCAGTGAGCTTGCTCTCCATTCCTCATCCCATTTTTGAAGCACCCCCCATACTTAATAAAGTATGCTGAAAAGCATGTTAATTCAATTCAATTTTATTTATATAGCGCCAAATCACAACAAAAGTCGCCTCAAGGCGCTTCATAGATACAGAGAAAAACCCAACAATCATATGAACCCCTATGAGCAAGCACTTTGGCGACAGTGGGAAGGAAAAACTCCCTTTAATGCCATCGGGTCTGTTGTGGTCATTTACACTGAAGCTGTCACGTTCTTGGATGATGGTGGTTGGGGGTCATCGTTGCAATTTATACAGATTTTATACAGATTTCCTTAGAAAACTTTCCATTACCTGTAAAGTTTCAAGGAGAGGTGAACCTTTTGTTATCACTGCTCCTGAAAGCCTAAGCAACAAACAGCACATCTGCATGCTACATGTACCCAGTGAAAATAATCTAATCTCTCATAATAGTTGTCTTTTTTGTTTCTTTTATTGTACTAAAACAAATAAAGCACAAGTAACAGAAGTAATCACTTTTCAATCTCTTACAAACACACCTGTGATGCAAACCTTTGTACTCACTCTCACACTTTCTCCACATGTCAGCACCTAAACATACTTGGCTCCCAATGAAACGTACTAACTGGTTGATCCACCCTTGGCAGTTACAACTGCAATCAAGCATTTACAATAACTGGCGATGACTCTTTCCCGTCATCTTGAGAGAATTTTGGCCCACTACACTTTCCAGAGTTATGTAATCATAGAAACGAGGGAAGCTTTTCAAAAATGAATGGCATGTTTGGGTACATAATGATCTGATTCAGGTCCAAACTTTGACTAGGACACACCAAAACTTTCATTTTATTGTTGTTTTAATTGTTTTTAACTGTTCAGAGGTAGACTTGCTGATGTGTTTCGGATCATTGTCCTGCTGCATCGCTCAAGTGCACTTCAGCTTCAGGGCACAAACTGATGTCAAGAAATTTTGAATGGCCAGTGATCAAATTACATTTTCACATGGGACCGTTTTTATCCATAGTGTTCAATGTTTTTCACTGGACAGCAGGTCTACACTGCAGACAGACCAGTTTGGCAGAGATGATCTCATCTGTGACGTTATGCTGTAGATATACTGGAAGGATGTGGTTTGCCATCATTTTTGAATGATTACAGCCTTCCTAAAAACATGAACATTTCCTTCAGAAATATTTTCCATTAACCGTCAAACTATTTGCACCTGCAGTCTTTAAAGTGGAGGTGAACTTTTATCATTACTTTTGAAAAACTAACAACAAACAGAAAATCTGCTTGTTATGTTTAAGAAGTCAAAATAATCTCATCTCTGCCATTTGCTGTTTTTGTTGTCGGCTTTTACATTGTACTAAAACAAATGAAGCTTAAATAAAAGAAATAATCAGTGTTGTTGAGAGCTCGTGAACTTACAAACTGACTTGTGTATTCCTTTGCACTCACTCTCACACTTTCTGTTTTTCAACATCAAAACATAATTATCCCTGAAACCTAATAACTGGTTGGGCCTCCCGTACCAGACATCAACACCAATCAAGAATTTATTGTTACTAACGATGAGTCTTTTGCATTGTCATGGAGCAATTTTGGCTGACTCCTTATTGCAGAATCTCTTGAGTCAGAATCAAAATCATCTTTATTTGGTCAAGTTTGTGCACAAAAAAGGAATTTGACTCTGGTTCACTTTATTCTGCATGCAAAAAAAGAACCACACCCGAGCATCTCAATCTGATTTAAATCCAGACTTTGATTACGCAATTCCACAACCTTTTTTTTTTTTTAAGAAACATTGGAGGGTTTTCAAACATGGACAGGATGTTAAAGGTCATGCGAAAGCATCGCAGTCTCGTTTAAGTCCAAACTTTGATTTATTACACTCCAAAGCTTTTATTTTGTAGACTTGTCGATGTGTTTCGGATCATTGTCCTGCAGCATCGCTCAAGTGCACTTCAGCTTCAGGGCACAAACTGATGTCAAGAAATTTTGAACCTGCCAGTGATCAAATTACATTTTCACAGGGGACCGTTTTTATCCATAGTGTTCAATGTTTTTCATTGGACAGCAGGTCTACACTGCAGACAGACCAGTTTGGCAGAGATGATCTCATCTGTGACATTATGCTGTAGATATACTGGAAGGATGTGGTTTGCCATCATTTTTGAATGATTACAGCCTTCCTAAAAACATGAACATTTCCTTCAGAAATATTTTCCATTAACCGTCAAACTATTTGCACCTGGAGTCTTTAAAGTGGAGGTGAACTTTTATCATTACTTTTGAAAAACTAACAACAAACAGAAAATCTGCTTGTTACGTTTAAGAAGTCAAAATAATCTCATCTCTGCCATTTGCTGTTTTTGTTGTCGGCTTTTACATTGTACTAAAACAAATGAAGCTTAAATAAAAGAAATAATCAGTGTTGTTGAGAGCTCGTGAACTTACAAACTGACTTGTGTATTCCTTTGCACTCACTCTCACACTTTCTGTTTTTCAACATCAAAACATAATTATCCCTGAAACCTAATAACTGGTTGGGCCTCCCGTACCAGACATCAACACCAATCAAGAATTTATTGTTACTAACGATGAGTCTTTTGCATTGTCATGGAGCAATTTTGGCTGACTCCTTATTGCAGAATCTCTTGAGTCAGAATCAAAATCATCTTTATTTGGTCAAGTTTGTGCACAAAAAAGGAATTTGACTCTGGTTCACTTTATTCTGCATGCAAAAAAAGAACCACACCCGAGCATCTCAATCTGATTTAAATCCAGACTTTGATTACGCAATTCCACAACCTTTTTTTTTTTTTAAGAAACATTGGAGGGTTTTCAAACATGGACAGGATGTTAAAGGTCATGCGAAAGCATCGCAGTCTCGTTTAAGTCCAAACTTTGATTTATTACACTCCAAAGCTTTTATTTTGTAGACTTGTCGATGTGTTTCGGATCATTGTCCTGCAGCATCGCTCAAGTGCACTTCAGCTTCAGGGCACAAACTGATGTCAAGAAATTTTGAATGGCCAGTGATCAAATTACATTTTCACATGGGACCGTTTTTATCCATAGTGTTCAATGTTTTTCATTGGACAGCAGGTCTACACTGCAGACAGACCAGTTTGGCAGTGATGATCTCATCTGTGACATTATGCTGTAGATATACTGGAAGGACGTGGTTTGCCATCATTTTTGAATGATTACAGCCTTCCTAAAAACATGAACATTTCCTTCAGAAATATTTTCCATTAACCGTCAAACCAGTGTGAACTGGACAAAAACAACACTAAAATACATAATTTTTTTTACAAATTATTAAAGATCAATGATCATCACAATATATAGAAAGAAAGAAGTCCAATAACATATTCACAGAGTAGTAAAATAATTCATCCATATAATATTAAACATTTGTTTAAATCTTTTTTAATGTGCTTAATCACAGTTAAACCATGTTCTTATGATTTCATGGGTAGGGGTCAAATTACTTTTCCTCACAGAGCAAGGTAGGTGTGGATAGCCCCCCCCCCCCCCAATTATTGAAATAATAATTTAAAAACTCAATTTTGTATCTACTTGTGTTATCTTTATCTTATATTAAAATTTGTTTGATGGTTTGAACATAAGTTTGCCTTATCCTCTAGCTCCCCCAACTGTTTCATCCATCTTGAAATGGAAAAATTAAAAATAAATACACAGTAATAATAATAACTAAAAACAACATAATACGTTTATTTTAACATGCTATTCAGGTAATTATACAGACCAAAAATGTTTATAAGCCTGACATTAGATAAATGAATTAATCGTTTGCCATTAATTCATTAAAGTAAAAAAAAGAATTTGGAATTTGCTCTAAATTGTTACCACCTTACAAATTCCAAGCTTTCGTCTTTTATTGTGTTTTTGTTTGTTTATTTTTCGAGAAGCCCCAGCACGCTATTTATTTTTGAATCTGACAATTTTTTAAAAACACCTATTTATTTATTTATTGAAGTGGAAAAAATATTATATTTTATACTGTCAAACTTCTTGTTTTTTTAATATCTTGTTAAAAAAATAATTTTTAAAGATTCAGGGAGCGTGTCTGACAGGCAGCCTTGAAGGTCAGCTTCCCCAACGCACATCGATTTGACATGGAGATGCCCTGAAATCTCCCGGCTGCTGGCTCCAGGTGTAGCGGGTTGCAGTGATTCAGATTCCACCACTAGAGTTCTCCCTGTGGCTCCGCTCGGCTCCGTCTGCCCCGTGTTTACCTCTCAGCCAAGCTGGACACAGACCTTCACCAACAGACCCCAGTAGCTCGAAAATTACTGATGTAAGCTGACTCGAGTCCAATCCTCAACGGATTTTCTGCAGCGCTTTGTGCTTGTGACACGGAGGTGGAGGTGAGTTTTATTTTATTTTATTTTTTTGAATCCTGGAGAAAATGGCTCAGGCTCTGTGTGACAACACTGCGGCTAGCTAGCCAGCAACTACATGCGCTAACGCCGTTAGCTTAGCCGTGGCTTCTTTTCCTGTCCCCATGATGGAGGACTGTGAACATGGCGCCCTTCAAAATAAACGAGTAGGTAACTAGTTAGCCTAGTTTGTAGCGACCAAACACAGTGTGTGCTCCCACTCCCAGTCTGTTGCCGTGATTGTGAATCTCACCAGTGTTTCCTGTAAAGCTGGCATGTTTTAGCTGCCCATCAGCTAACGCTAGCTGCGTAACAGTTTACTAGCTTTGCTGATTAAATCTACTCATAACGATCGCATGGCCGACAATCACCTATTATTGTTATGTACTTTTCTGGTATTTAGGTTATCTCGCATTTAGTCTACAATGTAATCGAGCTGGTTTGAGTTCACTGGGGGGAAAGCTGACTTTTTTTTGTCCTGACAAGCTTTGAGTTGGACATTAGCCAGCCTGCTAGTGGCTAAAGTGAGCTCCTTCAATTGCAGTGCCCGTGGCCTGCCGCGGCTGTCTTTGTTGCTGACGGTACAAGTTATGACAAGTGTGTTCTTTAAATTAAATATTATATGTGCGGTTATGGTAATCACTGCGTTGTAATGCATTAGTTTTAGCTAGCGGGGATCCTCCGCTAGCTTTTATTATGACCCGCTTGCTGTTAGCGGGCTAACGGTAAATGGCAGAGAGTCGTGCTAAAATGTTTAGACAGCGTTGCCCTCTTTAAACCTAGAGCCCGTCAAGTGGATTTAATCGGCGTTTTAACCAGTGGGTATGATTGTCTTCTTGGCGTAACGTCCGGTGGGGCTGTCAGTTTTCTAGTGAGGGAACAGCAGCGTGGTGTGTCGTCTTTGTTTACCGCGAGAGCCATGAAGCCCACTCAGCCTGGGCTGTCTGTCTGCTAATTGGGCTCCTGGGTCGCACACCTTGCTTAATTGATGTGTGAGCACGCCGGCGTGCAGAGCCGCCCGTCCTGTCATCACGCGGCGTGATCTCAGGAGAGGCACAGGCTGAACGGAGGAAACGAGGGCATCATTGCACAGGTGGCACCCGTTCACAGCGACTGCGCTTGACACAGAATAGGGTAGCTCACATTACTCAGTGTCACCTCATTTTGTTTTGCCTTCACTATGGTGTGATGCCGGGTTACGTTTCCCTGTATTTGAATGTGAACATCAGAATATTTGTGCACTTTCTGTGTTTCACTATCAGAATCCACATAAAACATAAACAGTTTTTTCTCGTCAACAGTGCAAAAAATTGCCAGTTTTAAAATCGAGTGTTACACAAATTAAGGTGTAAAATCCAGATTATTTTTTTATTTTAACCATTTTCCAACACTGCCTTGTTTTATTTTGTGTGTGTGTGTGTGTGTGTTTAAGCCACATTTTGTGCCAGAGAAAAAAAGAACAAAGAAACTGTTTTTAAATCCCTTTATTACACTATTTGCAAAATTGACTGGCAACAGATGAGCTCTGGCCACGGATATCAGTAAATATCACAGGCTAAGGTTATTTATTTTAAATTGCATTTTTGTTTTGTTTTTAATATAAAATAAAGTTGTAGAAACACTTGCCAGTAGCATTTTGTGGACTCCAGATGTGTCTATAGTAGGTGCTTCATGTGATCTGGTTTTGCAATATTAAAACATCAACTCTGTATTTTTAAGAAGCCACACTCAGAGCAGTAACATCAACTCTCACGCCTAATGACTCTGACTGACTATGACCGATATATGCAGTGTTGCATTGTCACAGACAGCGTTTTTGCATTGTTTGTGCTGATTTGAACCGAATCTGCATTTATTTTTAGGTGGTTTGTTTGTTTGTTTTGCTCCCAACAACAAATATGCGGCTCGTTCTTACGTGCTTTCGACATAAACCACGGTCCATTCTCTCATGAGAAAGGGGTGAGAATTAACATCGCCTGTCGACATCTGTCTCAGCCTCTTCTACCACAAGTGCACTAAAGCCGAGCTTCTTCGTTCATGTTAAAATTCTTTCAGTAGTATTATGGTTAGCTTTTGGCTGCGGTTTATGAAAGTGACATCTTAAGTTTCACGGATGGCTAAGAGGAGCACCGCATAAAATTGGATTTGAATTTTTTAAGATATTTAGGGTAGGCCAGGCCTGTGCACCATTTTAAGGAGTCAACCTAACCAGTTTGAGTTTATTTAGTTTCAGGAGAAATTAATTGCATTAAAAACTGAAGTAACTAGTGACTGCATGTGGTTTTAAAACAAACCACACTGGCATATATCTCTTGTCTTCATAAGCATAAGCAATTAGCTTAAGATCATAATATTTCATCTTGTTGTTATAGTTTTTCATACTGTAAAATAAAGTCAGGGTTTAATTAAAGTAACTGTAGGGTGTATTTACATTTTTAGGTAGATTTCTGCTTGTGTAAGCATTTTTAAAAATGTTGTAAAAAAAATAGCTGCCATGTTTCAGCTTTCATTTCATTTTTTTAAACATTGGTACAAGCTTTTTCCTCTTAAACATTGAGATGAGATGGAAGGAGGAACAATGTTTTCTTCTAAGTAACACGTCTGTCCTGATGGTCCAGTTTATGCTGATGAAAATCAGAGGTTTGGATATGCATCAGACACTTGTTACTGTTACTTGAAGCATTTCCTTTCACAGTTTTTAGTGACGTCTTTAATGTGAAGGACGTATGTGGTACGAATACTTGGGTAAAACTATTTGTGAGGTATGAGGTGATGACTCAAGTACCATACATCACCTGTGTAATGTCTTGAAGGAGAGTCGCGCAGGATTCTGCACAATCTTTGGTTTTAGTTATCTGTCATCGCCCCTGGTGACTATCAGGTGATCTGAAACTATGCAACCATTTGTAAAGAAAACATCGTGTCTCTATCAGGCAAAATGTAAACTTGTGTTTTGCTGCTTTTGTGATGATTTACTAGTTTTAATGTCAGCAAGGCCTAAATAAAAAATGTCACCAGAGGAAACATTTGTTAGAGGCAAAAAAAATAAACTTCAAATAAATGTATTATAGATTTACACCTGTGTGTAATTTGTCCATGAATGACACAAAGTTGTGTGTATTCATTACGTTCACCTTTTGCTCATAGTTGGAGAAGATTTACAATAACTGTCCAAACCGTAATGAATGCAAGTTAATTTGTTTAATAGCTTACCCGACCAGTCTACCAGGTAAGAAAAATATTCTGAAATGTATGTGCTCTCATCCAGTGATGTGAGTGTTGTCTTATGAGGTAAATCCGATTGTTCAGTCTGACGTCACCAGCCGTGTCTGGACCTAAACTCCGCTGCAGGTCCATATATCAAACGATCACTATGGCATTACTGAGAGTTGAAAAACTGTCTAAAGTCTTTCATCTTTAATAAAATGATCAGTGTTCTGCTCTACCAGGTGTAACAATTGAGTTTAACATCCAGGCATCCATGAAAACGGAATTTATGACATTTAACGGAGTTTAGCAGGAAGTTAGCAGGGAGTTAGCTCGCTAGCTTCTATCTAAATACAATATAGCATGTCCTGACTGCGGGGTTTTGGAAACAAATTAAAACGTACAGCTCTGTTATCACTTCCAACATAAATGAAGACGGAAAACTAAACAGCAGTGACGTTTGTAGGGTTACTGAAGTTTGGCTAGCTGGTATATAATGATGTGCTACGTGACCGCTAGCGACACAGCTATGTTAGCATAATATAAACAAGCTAACTTTTTTTCCACTTGATAAAAGTTAACGTGAGTGTTCTCGGTGGTCAGAAACAAATGTAATCGCATGGCAGGATGCTGTAAAAGGACCAAACTTCAGCCAGGAGAACAACTGAGATAATCCATCCACAATACGAGGTTAGTCATTCATGTACTGCTGCATGGGCTGGGCTGTAGTTACATCCTAAGGTTTTAAAAACTGAGCTTAAATAAATGATTAGCGGTAATAAAAGCCGAGGGAGGTCAACAGTGATCACTGACTGTTTTAGGAGCTTTTTGAGATTAAATAGAAGAAAATACATAACATTAAACATGTTAACAACACAAAAGCCATATTAAACACAGACTACTTTAGGCCCGGAAGTAGGATTCGTCACGTCATCACTTAACAATCGGATTGAGACAACTGTTTATATTAGTTTCTGTATTATTTCTGCTGTCTAATCACTGGCAGCATGTCTCATGTATTAATGGAGTTACCACAGGTGTTACAGTCACAAACAACACAGCCACTGGAATTATGTAACTTGTAATAATCCTAAGCCTGTCAAGGTTTTCTAAGACTGGGTGATTAATCATATTTAAAAATTTTCAGTTACAGTTTTTGGCTTGAAAGCTTGGATTTATCCCCCCCCAATATATTTGTTTCTGACTGAGGTTATATTAAAATTCAATAAAGTCCCCTTGAAAAAGATTTATTTTTCTAGACCAATAAATGCTTGATGTTGATGAAATGATTGAACAATCATGTTAAATAATCAGCAGTTCATTTCTGTTATGCTCATGATTGTGATTTTTGCCATGTTGAAGCAGTCTGCGTGCCTATTTGTATTTTGTTTACCGGTAAGTTTCTGTTCATTTATTAAACAAAAGCAAAATAACTGCTGATCAATATTTTTTTTGTCTTTGTTTCTTACAGTTGTCATGAATAAGGAAATCATGTCACGTGTGGTGAAGAAGAGGCAGGCGGACCCAAAGGTCGTCCAGTATGTCTGGGAAGCTATCGAGGTCATACGCAACCAGAAACAAATCGCAAACATGGACAGGATCTCAAAGTAAGTCCACTGCAGATAACACGGATGTAGTAATGTTATTTATGAACATAAATGGCTGTGTCAGCTCCCCAGTCAGTGTTTTAGGTCATTAAAGGCAGAGTGCGAAGACATTTTATCCCCTTAGGTCATCACTGTGCTAACATGTCATCGCTCAAACTACCTTCATGTTGATATGGTGAGCTGTTTGAATCATTTGTTTGGTTTGGTTCTTTGATGTTCCAGGGTGACCGATATTTGAAGCTCTTAGAAAAACTCTTCCTACTTAATCTTTAATCTTAATCTCTCTAGATTAAGATGTCTAGAATCTAAAAAGCTTTCAAATTTCTTTCTGTATTTTTATTTTTGTAGGGCTGAAACTGCGTCTCATCATTGTCAGTAATTTGTTTGCTTGGTCCTTTATTCCAAGTGGTAGAAAACGGTGAACATGTTATCAAGAACTTTTTTTTCCACTACAAAATAATATCCAGCAGAAAAGCATCAAAATGCTAAACACAAGTGTTCCGATTTGTTTGATTGTTGTTTGTGGCCAAATAATTATCATCAACATAACAGATGCTTTTGTGCAGTTGTCGTTAATGTTGCCTTTGGCTTGTTATCGTATTCAAATGAGCACCATTTATCCTTGTGGGATGCCCTTGAGGGATTGTTCTTCATGTTTGTTTTTGAATTCATTTTAAATGTACCCAAAATGAAATGCGTCATATCTGTAATCACTTTGTTCTACAGCTACAAGCCGTAATTACGTGTTTTCGTTTAATCAGTTTCTAGATGTAAACAGTGAAAACTACCTAGACCAAGATGATGATCTTAAAACAATTATTTTTAAACCGTCACATTCAAGAGCCTGCTTGGTGAACGACTGCGTCATTCAGGGATAGGTGGACTAATCAGTTATTATTGTAATAGATTCAGGTCTAGTTTGATGTCTTTTAGGACTGTGCAGCGTTTAGTTTTTAATCACTATAGTTTTTTTTTTTTTTCACGTGTTACATAAAAGATTTCTACTCTAAAGCTATGTCGTGTTTCTGCTTATTACGCTCTGAGTCAGGCAGCTCTGTCTGCAGAGCGAGACTGACCCCTGCTTCAACAATGAGTAATGAATCAAAGTTTACTTTAACTATATCTTACATATATCCTCTAACTTCAGTAATGCATGTGTGGCAGCAGTTTCCAAAGTTTGATTTGTGGAAATAATACAATAAATATAAAAGCTGTTGATTTCTGACTGGCTTTGCCGTTTTAACGTGTTGATCCCAGTCTTAACTGATTTACTAAAAACAAGTTGTATATTAACACTAATTAACTGAGGCTGGTAGACAAACACCTTCCATGTTTTGTGACAAAGCAGTTTTGAGAGCAGAGTCTAGTGCATTTGTGTCTGAGTAGTTTTCTTGCTGGAAAGGGCTCTCACTTAGGTCAAAAAGCAGTGAAAATGTTCTTAATGCGGTGTGCGCTTGATTTGATGTGCGTATTTTCCGATGATTAAAATCTGTGTTGCTTGTGTCTGTATCCTCAGTTGTGCACGGCTTTAGTTTCGGTGTTGGTTTCAGGGTTGGACGGGTGTAGCAGGCGCCTATCTGAGTGGGGCGCGTCTGCTACAACCTACTTTAGTCGAGTCACTGAGCATCCCTTTATACAACCATATCTCCAAAAAAATTGCACTAGTGTAAAACTCAAACAGTAAAACTGAGCAGTTTAACTGAAGAGGTGAAACATTGTTTATGAATGTGAACAGTTGATCAGTTGATCATGTTTTTCACATCTCAAAAACATTTTTAATATCACTGAAATGTTGCTGTGTCCAGGAGTGCTAGGTGTAATGTGATCCAGAGTACTGCATTACTGTAAGCACCTTATGTGCTTCAGGAGACTTACTGTACTAAATTCAGTCATCAGTCACAATTACACCATTACTTGCATTACAAACGTTCTTCAATTATCTGCATTCTGAGTAAACAGGAAAAAAATTCAAACATGTCTTCTTCCTGTGCACTTGGCTGTAATCAGCTGGAGTGCAGATTTAGACATTGTTTTTATTTTCATTTCATAAAAAGTTTAAACTGCGCCAAGGACAGAAAACAGATTTTGGACTTTTTGTAGGCATCTGCGCAGACCGCATGCTAACACAAAGGTAGCGAAGAACCCAAGCTGGTGATGTAGTTGAGTTCATGCTGACCCGAGCCCAGCAGCCAGAGCCTGATCTTCAGTAGGTAGCAAGAGCTGTCAGGCTTGTTTCATGTTTCTGTAGTTCAAAGTGTGGCCATCACTTCAAAGTCTCTTTGGGTTGGTTTTCAGATTTGGTCTGCATTGTTGGGTTTGTGTTCATACAAGACACTTAAAAAAAGATATCTATCCTTGTTGAGATAGAGAATTGAGTCAGCGTTATAGTGTTAAGGGGTAATTATGTGACAGTGTCACAGAGTAATGAGTAATGGAAAGAATTACTTTCTCAGGTGAGTAAATAAGTAATATAGGGCATTACTTTTTGTTGTTTTTAAGTAACAAGTAATGTGTAATACATTACTTTCTTTGAATAGCAATCCCAACACTGACTCTTTCCAATGGATGAAATGGCACAGAGACTGTGTTGTTTACAGAGTGTGGCTAGTATCATAAACTGTACGGGCGCCACTGTCGGCCTTCAAGGTTATTCACACACCTGTGGAGAAAGTGCTTATGCACTGTTTAGGCAGTGTTGGGAAGGTTACTTTTAAAATGTATTCCAATACAGAATACATACCCCAAAATGTGTTTTGTAACGTATTCCGTTACGTTACTCAATAAGAGTAATGTATTCTGAAATATAATATCTTAATATATTATCTTGCTTTTTACAACTACACGAATGTACTATTGCCATGTGATTTATTACTATTACTGAAGGGTTATTATTGTATTTACATGCTTCCAGCTCTCATTTTTGTTCGATGACAACTCGTACTTTTCCACCCTCCTTTTTCTCCCTCCTCGCGCTCAGACACATAACGTGTATGGCAGTCCATTCTCCCTGCAGCACAGACTACACTGCCCATGAGGCTACATGCTTTAGGGCGATGCCTGTAGCATTCTGCCTGTTAGCTTAGCACAACAACAAAAAGCCACTCTCTCACCCAGGAAACACACAGTCGCAGAGAGAGAGCGTCACCCTGTAACCATGGCAACCGCAACGCTGCCACCTGGAACAACAGAACATGTCAAACAAAACCCAAACAGTCCTGACCCGCCACAATATGAAACAGGAAAATAACTCTGTAACGGAATACAGTTACTCATATTTTGTATTTTAACCTCCTAGGACCTGCCGTCCACATATGTGGACATCACATTATGGGTTATTTAGACCAAAATACTAAATTTTGCTCAACAATGGCCTGATATCCACTTACGAGGACATTATTCTGCTACTGTTCTATCGAAATTTTAAACAAATATCCTCATATGTGGCTCTCATTTTTCTTAGAAACAAAAATCAGGTTAAAAAAAAAAATCTGGTAATTCTTTGTTTTTACATTCATCGGGTCCCAATATGCCCAGATATCAAAGAGAAATTAAAAATGCATGCCATGCTGATCCACACAGGTATGCACACAGGTGTACACACGGGTGTTCAGACACGGACTACAGCTTTCTTGGCTGCTGCCTCAAAGCACATTGTGCGCTGTCTATCTTGCGTGCTGCACAATATCGTTTATTATTTAGCATCTACTGATATCTACTGCTAGCTAGTTTATTGTGATGGTGCTGTTTTTTGTTTTTTTTTATTATTATGTTGCTCTTTGTTGTTTGCTTTCTCTTCTGTTTTTTTTCTCCATACAGGTGACCCAGGTGTTTTGTTTTTGTTTGTTTGTTTGTTTTTCTTTTTTTTTTCTTTTTTTTCTTTTTTTTTCTTTCTCCCCCCCTTCTCACCGTCTCTTCTCCCCTTTGGTTTTCTTTCTCTCCCTCTCTTTCTTTCATTCTTTCTCCCTGTCCTATCCCCCAGTCATGTCTGTCCCGTTTGTAGCAACTGAAAATAAAATAAATTCATAATTATAATAAAGGTCAATCAAATGGACCAATATGGCAAGGCCATGATGATCCACTTGGTAAAATAAATCTGCTTGGCATCTTTCTTGGCCTTAAGACAACAATTCTGATGGCTAAAGATCCAAACGGGACACAAAAAAAAAAAAAAATGCATGCCATGGAAGAGTTTGGGTCTTAGGAGGTTAAATACGTATCGGCGCTACATGTATTCCGTTACTCCCCAACACTTTGTTTAGGTTGTATGTAGGGCTGCCACGATTAGTCGACTAGTCACGATTATGTCGACTATTAAAATCGTCGACGACTAATTTAATAGTCGACGCATCGTTTGAAGCTTTGTAAGATCCCAAAAGACGCAGGAATAAGTAGCAGGATTTAAGAGTGTAATAACGGACTGAAACAGAAGATGGCAGCACTGCATGTACAAGGATGCCAGCTGCCGTTAAACCCCGAAGAAGAAGAAGCTGTGTCCCAGAATTCATAGCGCAGCCCAGCGCAGTTGTCAACAATGGTGGCAGCTAGTTAGTTTTAACTTTACTCTTATTATTCTTTCTGGGTCACAAAATAAACGTTTAACATATTTTCAGGCGAGAATGTAGCTGTGTAAACCTCAAATATCTGCTCAGTTTATCAAGACACCACATATTTTCAAAAGCGCTCCGACGTTTTCGGAGACGTCTGTTACCCACTAGCTCGTTAGCTAGACGGGGGCAAGGCTAACTAGAGCCGTGAGAACACCGGACTCCCAGCAAATCGTTTTCAAACCCACCGCCGTCTTTCGCTAGTCAGGTTAAACATATATATGAGTCACTTAGATAACTTAAAAATGTTATTGTTTGGCTTTCTTTAGTATTTTATTTGTTCCTGAGTAAATCGGTTTGGCTGAGATTAAAGTTATAGTTTTTGCACAGCTAAAACTGTCAAGCAGACAGCTGATTATCAGAAGTGTGAGACGCTGGAGAATATACTCCGGTGTCCTGTTATATTTTAGAAAGCAAGGAGTTTATTAAACTTCACCGAAACAATCTGCAAATTTCATTAAAAATTAATAAACTACCATCTTGTCTTTATTTTTAGTTAGCACAAACACTTCAAGCTGTAAGCTAATGATAGTTATATAAGACCAGATGCTGCTGGTGCAATAAGCTGTACGTCCAATGGATGATGATCTGATTAGTCGACTAATCGCAAAAATAATTGGTGACTAGTCGACTATCAAAATAATCGTTTGTGGCAGCCCTAGTTGTATGGCGTCGACTCTGACGACGCGTAAATCGAGCGGGGTCATTTTGTAGATCAAAGCCGTGTAAAATCGTTCTGGTTCACGAGGCTGTCATGCATCTTATTTTTCCAGACGGGGAAGGATGCAGCTGCTGTCTGCCAGGACAGATGGGTCTCTGCACTAAAAATCTTAAAACCAATAGTAAACATCTGTTGAACATCAGTAAAACATGAACAATTAGTTTAAGTGGCTATTATTTCTGATAACTGTCTAGTACGGTCCTTTGTTGTGACAAGTTGGTTTCGTATAATTGACTAAAGTACGAGTCCCGGTTGATATTGCACACCCCTAGTCTGGCATTGCTGTTTCTATTTCACAGTTGGGTTTTTTTCCTCAAGCTGCCCAAAGCTTTGGGTGTTGTGTTGTGCCCTGTTTATACTGGAGGGCAAACCAGACATGGATCAATACCTTGATTGGCAGCTGTTAAGTTCTGACAGTCTCCAGCTGCTGCTCGCTCATTGCTGTTCTCGCCATGTGGTCAGCTCTCCCTCTAATTGCTTCGCTCCTGCTGTAGAAACCTTAAATCTGCAGCAGGTTGGGGTCACGACGTTTTAACCATCTTGGTTTTTATCTGCTGCGAGAATTCCACATTGTTCAGACTATGCAAATTGATGACAAATCACCCAAAGCAGACCTTGCTGATCAGTCATTCCTTTCAGTTGGCGGATGGAGCACAGACTCAATGAAACACTTGGCACATCTCTTTTCAGCAAGTTGGCGAACACCTTGGGACCTGGCGGCTTGCCAAATGAATACTGGCGGCGAGTGGGTGTTGTCATGGTAACGGCAAGCACTGGCATGCAACGGATAGCACCAGCTTTCCTGTACAACCTCCCCTCTCTTTACAGCCCCACTGCAGCTTAATTTCACCGTGTCGGCTTTGTGGCTATAAAGGTGATGGGTGATGTAGAAGGAGAACAAAGTTGGTGAGGCAGAGGCTAATCTTTAACCAGCCTATCAGGCAGCTTAGAATCAGTTAGTTACATGTTAACCAACCTAACTGCTAACTTTAAATACCCAAAATATGGGTTACAGTTAAATTTATAAAAATTTTGTTTTTATTCTGTTGATCTAACAAAATAACTATCTGTTAAAATAAAGGGAAAAAACATTAAAAGATGCATTCCTTTGAATTCTTTGCTTTTGGTGTCTTTAATTGCTGTAAAACCTTTATATAAAATCCATGTCAGTTTGTTTGCCAACTTAACCAAACAAGGTGCGTACGTACACTGGAATGGGCTGGTAATTAAATCCAGGTGTGACTAGTCACAAGAGCTGGAATGATTTGTGGAGGAGATCTCTTAATCTGCAACTATGTTGTTAATCTGGCAACCGTTTTGTGCTTTATGCCAAAGCACCAAGCATTAGATGGTTCCATCTTTTTAATTGTGAATGTTTGCTGGCTGATTTGTTTCAATGTTGCCTCATTTGTGTGACAAATGAGTCAAAAAAACTGTTTAAAAACTGTTATCTGACATTTTAATTGACAAAATGACTGAAGTCAAAAAGGATTAAAGGAGCTGAATAAAGCTTTTACTTTCCATATTGTACTATAGTAAAAATTGGACTAGTTGCACTTGTGCATTGCTTAGAGTAGGACAGATATTAAGCTGGAAAAAAAATTGTCATCCTGCAACTTCATACATTTAATGCAATTTGAGATTAAAACTCGGTGAACTTAACAGGAAAAAAGTTGATTATTTTTAAGTGCTGCGGTTCGGAGGACGATGGTGTAGAGAGAGAAAGATAGAAATAGAAATGTCATGTAGTCAGTAGAGCTTCCGCTATCCTGGTCAGAGGACCCTTGTACATTGATTTCAGATCCTTTGGTAATACTCTCTGACTTGTATTCACCATCTATCCCCACCCCTGGGCCTATGCCAGCCGAACAACTCTTTCTGGAGGAAATCCTGTGGTCTGTCTGTTGGCTGACTGCCCCAGTAGACGATACATGACCTTGCTCGGAGAATTGTCCTACCAATCAGCGAGCAGCTGCAGGAATCGGCTTTGTAAATGTACGCTCGTGAGAGGGGAAGCTGATGGAAAAAGTCCTCCTCTGCTTGCAATTTTAAATACCACACGTATCCCTAATCTGTTTTCCGAAGATTGTAAATTAATTTATGTAGCTCTGGGGTTTTGTTGGAAAATTACAAAACAGTGACGGCTAATTTAAACATGGTGGGGAAAATGCAGCCTCTCCAACGGATGTGTACACGAATTAGAGCTGGTTTAAGGGATGAGAAAGGTGTTGGTCTTTGTCCCATCCAGCAGTATTAATCCAAGTATGTTTCTGCTGTGTTTTCCGCCTGCCTCGCGTTTTAAATGTTCATCTTTAGCCAGTATTAAAAAATGGCTGTCATTAGCACAGCTGCCTCTGATTTTCCTCAATTACATCTCCACTTCCGACTATGCAGGTACCTGAGCCGTGTGTTTGGCATGCATCCGAAGGAAACCGCCAGACAGTTGAGCCTGGCTGTGAAGGACGGCCTGGTGGTGGAGACCCTGACCGTTGGCTGCAAGGGCTCCAAGGCCGGCATCGAGCAAGAGGGATACTGGCTGCCTGGGGATGAGATGGTGAGCCCACTACAATTTATCAAGTTCACAAGCAGTTGTGAATTTAATGTCTGAGTTTGTGTTAATGGCCACAAATAGAAAGTAGTAGTTGGGTCTGCACAGCTGAGTGTTGATCTGACTGATAGCTGACACTTTTTAGCAGCCTGTAAGAGTTGGCAGATTGTATCGTTTCCTTACCGATCATTTTTAGTCCTGTGTTTTAGCTAGGGGAAAATCTCAATAATCCTATAAAACCTATTAAAGCCATTGTCTATAATGAAAATATTTGCTGGTTTTTAGTAATGAATTTACAGCATGCACACAGTACGTCTTTTACTATGTTCACAGATGATATACAGGCACGTTCTTAAGCAGTAAGTGCCAAACAGCAGAGGTAGCTGGGTAGGAAGGAGTGGTATTTCAGATTAATACAAGGCTTCAATAATTACCGCTCAGCGTGCATGTGCAGAAAATACTCCATCAGCTTCTGCTGTCGTTTGCCTTGAGAAGGAAGCCATCTGCTCTGCAGTTTTATTGATAGACTTCTTTTGAAATTTGCAATACTTGTTTTATTTCCCCAGTTAGTAGTGAGGCAGTATTCGCAGTGTAGTGATTCTTACAGTCAGTCTGTCACAGTATCTGTGCAGAGTGCACTATTTCAATTTATCACTGTCTGGGGAGAACCTTTGTGTATTTTTCCATCTGTATTTCAAAAGGCTGTGTTGTGCATTACTTTGCAAATGCAAGTGGGGGGTAAAGTATTTTGTGGCTGTTTTTAATCCTACTGTTTTTGTTTCTTTAGGGTACAAAAACTGGCTGTATCAATGTCACACTTTACCTGTTAAACAACATTAGCATCATCAGTCATGAGTGAGCTACAGTGAAACATAATGCAGGAAAAACACAAATCTGTGATTTGATTTGATAGGAAACTAAGTTTTCTACTCTTTCTAAAACAACTGTAACTTCCATGTGCTCATGTAACAGTTCACACTGACTTCAGATTTAATAGAACAGGTTTATTTGTTATGATTGCAGACCAGAGAAGAGTCATGGAAACATAGAAAGCTTGATAGATCTGGCTCTTTATATGTTGTGGGTCATCACAGAATACTTTTGTGAGTGGAGAAAGGCATGGGTCTCTAAGGGACATGACACTGAGGCTCCAGTGGAGCCCAGGTTATTTTAGCAGGACTTTTAAACACTACTCTCTGAATCACTTGCAATCACAGGATCCAAAAGCCGAGGGAAGCAAGGTAAGGGCTGCATCGTTATTTTCAAATCCAGGGTTTGTTCTCATTTGCTCCCCTCATTTTCCCCTCCTCTCAACTAACATCATTCTGTGAGAAATCAGTTCTGCCACATGCAGTGCAGTCGGGGATTTGAGTGAATCTTTTTAAGCAGGCTGCAGAAAAACTAAACAGCGTACAGTATGGTCTGGTTGGTGCAAAAGTTAGAAGCCGTTTAAAATGAGATTGAAAGCAAGAGATCGAGTCTTTGTGCAGTGCTTTTGACTGAGTCCACTTGCTGCACCGTAAATGAATTTATGCATCCGGTTTCCATTTGAAAATCATTCTGCTTGCTGGCCTAGAGTTAGCAGTAATCGCACTGCCAGACATGCTGTCATTCAGTTATGCTGTGAAAAGCTTCATGAAAGTCCGTTGCAGCGCTGTGTCTGCGTGGCCAAATTTCTTGCGGAAGTGATCAGTGATCTTTATGAAATATGTGCTTGCTACTTATCTACAGGTGTGTTGTTGCTTGATTTTGATAACACAAAGTCTCCTGATGTTTAAAAAAAAAAAAAAACCCAGCAAAACATACTCAAATATCAAGTTATGGCTTGAAAAGCAATTGGTGTTTGCTTAAACTCAATCACATTCTCATGTGAGATGACAAGCAATGCTAGCATAGCCGCAGGTTGGTAGCAAGCATTTGTGAGTTTGTAGTATTTTGGTCTTGGTAGTTGTAGTTCTTCTAAGAACAGTGTGCTCTGCTGTGGTCTTAACTTCTGTCTGGCATGCTTATTTTCTTTTTTTTCTTTTTTCCTTCATTTTCAATTGATGAAACAGTGGAGGTGGGGGTGGGAGGGGAGCTGGGTGATTATGGTTTGTGTGGTTGTGCTCTTTAGTTTCCTCCGTGCCTGCTGCTAATAACACGGCCGACTGGTTCTTTCAGGTTAGTAATCACTCAGCGGACAGACCAGAGTTTGAATGTGAGCAGCACTCTGAAGCAGGGCCTAGATGGAGGCCAGTTCTCCCACCGCAGGTGCTTGGATTCAGTCCAGCTGGCGTGAGCTGTGTCCTCTGGTTGACCTCAAGATTTATTTGGTCCTCTAACAGATAACCATGGCATTTGCACAACAACATAACTTTCAAAAATAGCACAAATAGGTTCTTTAAAAAAATTAAAGTTCAGTTTTAAAAGCATTCCCTCAAGCCAGGCTGGATTAAATCCAGGTTCACCTGATCTTACAGGATCAATTTCATTAAACGTCCCCTAAATGCTTGTTGATTATTGAAAGTTTGGTTATTAAACTGACTTAAATCTACTCATTTGATGCATGGTAATGAACATGATGTGATGTATTGATGCACTTTGACAGTAGTTACACACAGTAAAAGAGTCTACATGCACATTATTTCATTGCAGCTACTAACCCATTATTTTGACATCGTTCAGCGAGTTTCGCTGCTCAAACACTGTTTTCATTCTTTAGATCCTCCCGAGCGAATTTCATTTGTTTTTGAAACTTTATTGAAAGCTTGACAGGCCTCTGAGTGGATATGCTCTTTGATCAGTTTCTTTACTGTGCATAAACACTGTAACTAACATCACTGAGTGCAGGGTTTGCCGTGGTGCTTAAGGGTGGGCCATCTCACATACAATTAATACACACAGGAAATGAAACACTTGACACCAAAAGAGAGGCTATTTAATGTGTCAAGATAAAAAATTTTACCATCAAATATTTTAGCAAACAACTTGAACAATAGAATAACTTTATAGAAGGATAAGATTTAATATTTGATGTGTCATTGCTATTAAATATGTTGATTTGTGAGATTTTAATTAGTAAGTAGCCATTGTTGCAATGTTGCCTCCCTAGCAAGGTTTAAAACGTCTGCACGCTATGAACATAGGCTCCAAACTGCTCTGATAGCTGGAAAAACTCAAACTTAGTGCTTCTCTCTGAGAATAAACATTTTACTTGGGCCTGTGGAGAGAGACAGGATCAGAAATGCTAACAGAAAGGACTTTGTTCGTCATAGCAACACAGACATTTTTCATTCACAGATATTCTTATTGAGCTTGACTGAGTTTGATGCGGGCTAGCTTAACATGGTAACCTATGTAACAAAAGCCACTGCTTAGCTAACCAGCATTAGCAGCCTTTGATCCTCTGAGCCACTGAAATGGAGATAAATTATCTCAGTCAGCTCATTATTCTGTTAGTTGCTTTAACTGGGGCAACCAAAAAACCATCAGCAGTGAAAACCCTTGTCAGGGTTTTCTACCCAACTAAGTAGTCACGACTACTTATTCAGTTGTCACTATCATCAGGCAGCAGTACAAACCATAGCTACTTGACATTGCAGTAATGGTGGTACTGCTCAAAGGCAAACAAAAATGCCCACTGATGGTGCTGTAGTGATGGATCTGTGTTTGTAGGCTGGGAGTGAAGCCTTACAATGGAGATGAATCCTGGAGTTGTTTTTTGTGGGTCACAATAAGGCATGCTAGCCCTGCTGCTCGACCTTGCCCGGCTCTGTGGAGTGTCCCAGCTTGACACTGACAGTACAGAGCTGTTAACCAGAGTAAAGCTAAAGGCAGCCAACTCTCACTGCCTCGGTTCTTCCTCTATCGCTCTCAAAGCCCTCGCCTTGGCAGCTTATAGTCGGGGCACATTTCTCCCTCCAAAAAGCAAAGAAGCGCTTCACGGTTAAGAGAAGTCTGTGATTGGAACTCATAAAAGGCTTTTTTTGGGGGGAGTTGAACTTTAGCTAAGCACAGTTTTATAGTCGTATCTCTATCTTAGTGTTGGTGTTGCCGAGTCTGTATTCAAACGTTGTTATTGTAATAATATCTGTTGTGCTTGGGCCCAAATCTGTCCGCACTTGTGTTAAAAGTCACTTTGCTGAAACCACAGACGTCGTGTCCTTGGCTCACAGAGCTCTGGCTTTTTGAAGTCAGCCACTTGTCTTTCATCAGACAGTCCAACAATAGTGAAGTGGCTCTTGACACTCAGCAGAACACGAGCACCATCTCTCTGTTTTTCAAGTGTTTGTGTGGGTGAAGAGACTATTACGCTTTAGAAGTCCTTTGACGAATCGGTGCATGGATTTTTAGAGTGTGTTTACATCTACGCGGACTTAAATTTTGAACCCTCCTTCAGTTCTGTTCAGCTGGGAATCTTTGAGGTTGTACTTCGTGTGAGCTCATTTTGTTCCCAGATAAACTTTGGACGAAAATATGTGGTCTGACCACGATCACTGCTACAGTGGTGAGATCCTGTATGTGCCTGAAATGGCAATGTAGATGTGCAGGTTTGAATCTGCGCATTACCACTGTGGGTTTAAAGCGAAGCAAGCGAGATGTGATAGACGGACTCTCAGCTTTAATTCAAGGGGTTCATTGAAAATTATGCCCCCCCCCCCCCCCCAAAAAAAAAATTATCTTAAATTTTTGTTCTTTAAAGAATTTTTCAATTAATGATTTAATTTATTTTCAGCTCTGTTAAACACGCCATCAATTTGTTCATAGATTTATTATTTTTTTAATGAATAAAATTATAAAAACAGCAATTACATTTTGTAATTTGTAATTAATTTGTGCAATCAGCTATTAAATTATTCCAATCTTTTTAAAAAAAACGGATGCAAGTAAAACCTGAGGATCACTTTCTGACTTTCTTTCCTCGTCTCCTTTGAGTTTATACGTCCTCAGTTCCTTATTTCATTCGAGTTCGAGGCAATACAACATCTCGATTTGGAGCCTTATTTTAAACATCGATTAATAATGATGTGTGGCATAACAACATTAGGGCTCCTTTGTTTGTTTGTTTTTTTTGCTAGTTGATAAACATTCTTATTTACAGTTACAGATGGAGAACAGTATTTAATTGCTTAAACAAACAGTTGATCATAACTAGAACAGCTTATTCATAAAGTCTTCTTCCAACACTAATATATTTGTTTTAAACTTCACCAGTAAAAAGAGTTCTGCAAAGGATTGAGCTGTTCATCCTCAGTTGTAACTCCTGATGTCCTTTTGCTTCCCTGGCTCCTACAGATGAGTTTTAGGGATTAGGATATACTTTGATGCAGTGAGATGCATTTGAAGGTCCGAAAGAGCTGCTTAAAAAAAATAGAAATGCGAAAAACCTGCAGGACAAATGAGTCCTGCAGGTGTTTTTATGGCTAGTTTCATCCCCTATATGAAGCAGCGGGTTACACTCCTGCACTTTCGATTTTTGTTACAGTCTTTTGTTTAAAGACTTGTCAGGATTGTTTAGGAAAATGCATTCTTAAAAAGATTTTCTTCAGTATTGAGCAAGCAGAAGGCAAACAGACCTCATCAGAAACTCTTTACTACTTTGTCATTGCTGCAGCTATTAGCCAGTGTGCTTCACCCCCCTCAAAACCTAAACTATAGCAGCACATGGAGAAGAAATCAAGAGAAATAGAAGTGCTGTTTTTGTTTTTTTTTTTTTTGCATTTCCTTTTTTTGAGCTGCACTCAGTCACGACTCTTGCTGGACCCACTGTGTCGGCAAGGCTGTGAGTGGGAGGAGTTGGACTCTTGACAGGCTGATAAGTACGTGAATTTCTAGTGCTTTTACTTCCCGTCTCGGCGCAACTCAGTTGACCTGCTGAATGCTACGGATACGCCGTGGAATGCTCCTGCACATCATCCATTCACAGGCTGTTCTCTATGAACACAACTTTTAATTATAGTTCAATAAAAGCAGGAGGAAACTCCTTTCTGGTGACGTAGCAGGGGCTTCTTACTCGACAAGAATAACTTTAAGTTATCATATGAAAAATAAAATCACCCTCAGTGGTTAGCACAGTATTTTCTATTTTCAGACTTTTGAGCTAAAGCTGAGAATCTGCAGTCTTGATCATTTCATTTCTAATCTGTTGCACCATCTTCGTAAAAACTGTGTCACCGGTCACAAATTGCCGGAATTGACTGTGTTACTTTTAGCAGGGAATAGAGGAGGATCAGCTGGGTATTGGCTGATACAATAATATGGCTGAATTATATGGCAATAGCTGTATTGTGCAGTTCTACTTAAAGTCCATCGCAGGGAAATGTTAAATGTTGCACATTAGCATAAGAAAACCAGATTACAGAGCATTACAGAAATTTAAACACGTTTGTGGTCCTACTAATGAGGATTGATGCCCGGCCCCAAGGCTAGCCAGTAATTGCCGAGAGAAGTAGCAGGCATTCATTAAAATTGAGCAAACCACAAAAAAGCAATTAAAACAAAAGTTTTGAAAAGGAAAGGTCGACAAAAATAATAAATTTATAATTTAAGAACGCCAAATAAACCTTCACTACTTTAATATTAGCATTTGTGAAGCCTCTTTGTAGTTGTTCAACAGCTGCATTGATTTATAGATAAACTGCATTTTTGCCCTGCCGCTTCCCTGTTTGCGTTTATCTAGGAACAATCGAATGATTCCCTCCCGTAGTAGTGTTCATCACTCAGGCCGTTCACCACATTCACACCTTGTAGGAACTCGGCACAACCACTTTTTTTCTTTTCATTCTTGTATATCCACAAAAGAGGGAAAAAGGCTTGAAGAGCTCTTTCTGAAAACCAGCTTAACATATTTTCTGAGAGGAAAGATATTTCCACCCAGATGATCTTACTGATTCACACTTTGAATCATTGACCTTTTACTCAGCTATCACAAGGACAGTGTTATTTGTCCAAATTAGCTTTTTTGGGCTAAATGACTTCACTGCTGATGCACAGAGTGTGTCTCCATAATCAGATTCAGGATGAAAAGGGTTTTTTTCCCAGGCTATGTGAGGAAGTTTGGTCAGTGTGCATTTATAGAGGATTCCTGTAGAATTTCAATGAAATGATGTATTTAAAAGTTTCTGCTGCAATGCACTCAGGAAGCGAGTGTTCCTAATATTACAATCATGCCACCAGCTATTCAGTCACATGTGCTAGAATCTATTTGCATATATTTTCTAGACATATCTGAACATGAGCAGCAAAAAAGCAGTAGACTTTGTTACCTGTAGGTTACCAGTCAGTTTTTGTTCTTAGGGTTTATATCTGACCTGACTCCCCTGTGTCCTCTAGCAATAAATTACAAAAAATTAAATATAAAATCGAAAGTGAGTCACATCGCAGACATCAAATCAGGAAAAAGGACGAGTAGGATCCATATAGAAATCTTGATTACGATGGCGCGCTAAACCAATAAAATTGAGGCTTTTGATGGTCCTTGTCAGTGCTGAGTAAACAGGTTGATGCTTCTCAGTGGGGCAAATCCTGACACTTTCAGGAATTAACTGGTCTCTCTGCTCTGTTGCTTGACATCCTAGTGAGCTAGCTTTAATCAAGGATGGAGGATAGGAAAAATAAAATAAAATCATTTCCTCCCCTGCTGTGGTTGGCGGGTTGGAGGGGGGGGGTCACCCAAACTTGTGCTTTGCTGTGTCTTCGCTGCAGGACTGGGAGACGGAGAGCCACGACTGGTACTGCTTCGAGTGTCACCTACCGGGTGACGTCCTAACATGTGACAACTGCTTCCGAGTCTATCATCTCAAGTGTCTGTCGGACGAGTGCAAGCCCAGAGACGGAGGATCTCCCTGGCAGTGCGTCGTCTGCAGGGTGGGTGCTCGAAGAGTGCAAGCACGTTCGTGAGAAAGTGAACAGATTCTGGGCTGTTTGATGATTAAGAATAAGGCTGGTCTTTACAAACAGATGATCCTACAGTCTTAGTCTTTTTTTTTTTTCACACATAGAGTCGTTTCTGTCCCACACTGCTTTCTGTTTCTCTCCAACAGGATTTTATCTTTTAATATTTCAGGATATTGCCTTTCTAACAGCTGCCAGGGGCCATAATGACTTAATATTGAAATGTATTTCTATTACACTGTCAGAACACTTCCTGCAGTGATGTGATGTCTGTCTGTTTTTTTTCTTTCTTTCTGCACATCATCAGGGAAGTAAAAAGAAGAACTTAAACAAACAGGAGATGTGTAAATACCTGCGCTTCATTGTCCAGCGTATGAAGGAGAGGGTGAGAACAGCTTGTACTTTTACTCCTGGTTGTTTTTGTTGTTGTTGTCATCAAACCTAACTATGGAAATCCAGCTTACAAGATTTGCATGTTACAAATCCTTTTTCCTCCTGTTTGGTTACCGTAGTTACACATATACAGCTGTGGGTGCTCACGCTGAGGTTTTTCAATAATAAGACCAGCATATGTGCGAGAAATTCCTGTGAGCCAAAAAGTCATGCTTCAGGCTGCTCTGAATGCTTCGTTTCATCTCAGGCACGCGCGGCTCTGGCTGTGACATCAGAAGCCCCACCCACCTAATGTTTAAACGGTCTACTCGTGAGAAGCAGCCGATTAGTAGAGTGCTGGCTTAAAAGGTGGACGGACGCGAACTTCAACTGAGGAGCTGCAGAAAAACTAATGATAAATATTGATTGTTTTCAAGTCCGAGAATAAAAATATGGAGCTGAATCAGTGTAATAGTAAAAAAAGGCCTCATTATACAACCCTTCCCCTCATCTTTTCTCCCATTACGTCTCCATGCCCACACTCAGTCCCTCCATCTCCTCTCTCCTTTATATTCCCCCTGTCTCCCTCTTAAAGGCATATTAAATCTCATCATTAACCCCGCATGCTGCCTCTATCGATGTAGACCTCCCAGGCTCCCCCTCCTTCATTACTCCGTCACCTTCCTCTAACACATCCCTGCTTTTCTACGTCAGACTGCGTTTTATCGTTACACCTCGTCTACGTTGCAGGCAGTGGACCTGAACAAAAAAGGCAAAGACACTAAACATCCCATGTACAGACGACTGATCCACACTGCACTGGACGTCTCCAACATCCAAGAGGTAACAGTGGAGCTCGGCATCATCACAGCTCCGCTTACATTTGTCTGATTAAGTATATTTGTGTTATTTTCACAGCCATTTTGACCTTCACTGTGCAGAGGTTGTGATTTCAAGGCTGTTTTCAGAATCATGTACTGGGTTCTCCTAACATCTGGGTTGTCAGGCTTGTTTCTGTGAGCTGGATTTGGACATCAGTTAGTTTAGAAGCTGATTTTTCTTTTCCACATTTATTTATTTATTTATTTTCAACAGACCTGGAGGTAATCTCTGTGAATTACATTGAAGCCCCTTTTTTAACTTGGTTTTAGTCTAAAAACTTTCCAGGGTCCAGAACTTTGAGTTCATCCACTCCTGAGTGGGTTCTGGCATTGTGGTATGAAACTGTGTAATTTCTCCGCTGAAAAGCGAACGCTCCAGTGAGCTCTCTGAGATGACTATTGATTAGCTAATCAGCTTGTGATGGGACTAACACCCTTGTCAAGCTATTCTCAGGCTGTGAGGTGGAACCAAGTATGTGCACTGGAATCTATTCTCAGTATTGTCTAATATATTGTTCTGCTCCGCTTTCAAAACTCTGCTACTTTAGCATGGCATCTCATCAGCGCTAGAAAGACTTTGGACTCACATAGGTACCAGCGTTTGATTGGGGAAGATCAAATTCCTCCCCACAGAAATTGACTCTGATCAAGTGGAGCAAACATGAAACCTTAAATGTTAAAAGGAACACTTGTTACATTGTATTATGTACAGTTCAGTGATGCAAACACATAACACAAGAAAAAGTTAGCAAGATGAGGAATGGCCCTATGCAAATAAATTTGACTTGAGTCTTAAGTACTGGGAATGGTTTGCAAATAACCATTTTGCAAGATTTGGTCAGACAGGCAGGGCTGTGCTGTGGTAAGGCGTGCATCACATCCAGCTCCTGCCAAGGGGGGGGGTGGTGTGTGTGTGTGTGTGTGTGTGTGTGTGTGTGTGTGTGTGTGTGTGTGTGTGTGTGTGTGTGGTAACCTCTTTTGTATCACTCACCTAACACACACTCAGCATGTGAGTGGACTCTTTGTCCTCGTTCTCCTCCTGAATAAATTTCTTTTCAATATTTGTGACTCTTTCAGAATCTGTCTGAAGGAAAGTACAAGACTTTTGAAGAGTTCAAAGCAGACGCTCAGATGATTGTTCACAACACTGCCATACTGTACGGAGGTGGGTTCAATGTGTCGCCACATACTGGTTATGAAACACACCGACCTTAGATTGAGGAGTTTAAAGTAAACCCTGTTTCCTCTTAACAAAAAGCAAAAAAGTTCCCAAATGTTGACTGTTTTGTAAAAAGAGTGAATCTTACAAGAATTCAATTTTAATAAAACGAATATTAAATTTAGTGTTAGTCTGTTTTAAATGTTTTTATCAATAAATTGAATGCATGGAATCATTTTTGGACAATTTGACAATTTTTCAGTATATCCATCCATCCATGTTCTTCCACTTATCCATGTCAGAGTTGTAGGAATGCTGCAGCCTGTCCCAGCTGTGGTGGGATGAAAGTCAGGGTACACCTGGACATTTAAGTCCTTTTAATCTGCCTCGCTTCTGAAATGGTTTTCTGTGTGTTTGTTTGTTTGTTTGTTTTGCTGCCTTAAGATCTGTGGTTAATTCTAGCTTTAGACAATTTCGCCTTGTTTTAAAAAAACAAACTGAATTTTGTAGCTTTTATCAGAGGATGAATGTCAGCAAGTGTCAGACTGAGACTGTAAGTTGTTGGGGACATTTGAGGTCCTCACACAGAGGACAGGATTTGCTGGTGGTGGTGCTGAAGTCATGTGACTGTGGCCTGGTTTGCTTATAGCTTAACATTAGAGAGTTTTACTTGTTATGTTTGGCTAATTAACACACCGGTAACACGTGTCGAGCTTTTACGGCTCAACAAAATTTTGCTATTTGATAATCTGAAAGCCCTGAATCTCAAATTTTAAACAAGGAAACAAATGCTTGTTTTTAAATACATTCAATGAAGCTTTAGAGAATTGTCTCCACGAGCTGAACTCATTAGGCTAAAAAACAAAAAAGAACCATAACAACAAGATGACTTGCAGAACATTATTAAACCTCACAATTTCTCCTTGGATGTTCATTAAAATATTGTTTAACAGCAGCGCCTGCTGGGTTTGAATTCAGAGTGATCCCAAAAACCAGACTGAGTATCAAACCTGGAGTTAACACCAGAAACCATTAGGTTTACTATCACTACCCAAAGTGTTTCATGTCCTGATGTTTTAGTTGAGGTTTGGGATTTTTCTTGTATTAACCTTGATGTGACCAGACTGAGAGGTTTTGCTGTCTTATTTTGTATGTTGCAGTTCACAGCGACCAGGCCGAGATTGCACGGTTGCTCTTCAGTGACACGTGTCATGAGGTATCGTCTTTTTATCGTTTCCTCTTACACTCCAGTTTGGAGTTCATCGCGCAGCTCCTTTCATTAACTTTAATTAGTGACAAGTTGAGATGTGTTTTTTGGGACAATGAGCACTCCTTTCTCTTTCCTCCCACTCTCTCTGTCTTCCAGTTGAATGAGTTGTTGCTATGCAAGAACTGTTTCTACCTGTCGAACGCCCGGCCCGACAACTGGTTCTGTTATCCCTGTGTGAGTATAAACAAAGTGGCTTCAACAGGCTAAATTTCCACTTTATTCTTTTTAGCAGCAGAAAAATGATCTTTATTCGTGCAAATATTTGTGCTGACGGCAGCTGAGAAATGCAGCTTTACTGTGCGCTGAATGTCTGTTGCATTTACAGAACGATCTCTGTAAATGAGCTGATCACGTCTGTTGCATCTTGTTCCTGATAAGTTTTCTCTGTGTTGCGTGGCAGAGCCCCAGCCATGACTTGGTTTGGGCCAAGATGAAAGGTTTTGGCTACTGGCCAGCCAAAGTCCTGCAGAGAGAGGACAACCAGGTGGACGTACGCTTCTTTGGACATCAACACCAGAGGTTAGCACAACTATAACAAAGCACAGCATGACTCCTCTGATTGTTTTCAGACAGCGCCGCATGCCGTGACTGTTTTACACCAGATTCTTACTTTAAATTACTTTTAAAATCATTTCTCAACACTAAACTGAAGTTGAATAGAGCTTGAAACCTGTCAATCGTAATGGTTGTTCTTCTTTGTTGGCCTGCAGAGCGTGGATCCCCTCAGAGAACATCCAGGACATCAAGGTGAGCGTGCAGCAGCTGCAGGTGAAGCGCAGCAATGGTTGGAAAAAAGCGTGTGAAGAGCTGGAGGTGTACCAGAGCTTCCTGAAGGAAGGACGCTTCTGGAAAACGAAGATGGAGGACGGCAGCCCGCCACACCAACAGAGTCAGCGGCAGCAGCAGCAGGAGGAGGGCAGCGTGAGGACGGACAGGATGGAGCGGACGGACGAAGCAGAGTCCAGCATCTCCTCCACCAGCAATGAGCAGGTCCGCCATGTAAGTGGAGCCATCACGCTTTTAATCCCCTTTTCTACTTTGTGAATTACAGGATAAGATGTTGGAGGCCAAAGACGGCCAAGAGAATGTCTTCATGGGGTTTTGATTTCCGTTAGTCTTCCACGTCTGCATACTTCCTGCGCTTTCAAAAACCTCTGTTCGTTTTCTTCGGGGTTGTTGCGGCAGCAGAGAAAGAAGAGATGGCCTGACCTCCCTCTCTCCAGCTGTCTACTGAGCTTTTCCAGTGACATGCTGAGACATTCACCTCTCCAGTACACCCTGGATGGGCCCAGTATCAGTTGTACACCCGGAAACAATCTTTTTGTTGTGTCTTACTTTCAAAAATAGCTTTTTAATGCTGTCTCTGTTTCAAAGCCCTCCTTAAAACTTAATGAGGGTTTTTTTTTGTTTGTTTTTTTAAAAGTACAAAAGCCAGTTTTGAAGCTGACATGAAGGCCTGGAAGGTTCTCAGTTTCCCTGGATGAAAAGAGCAGCATTAACATTTTTGACCGGATAGTCGAACCTCTGGGAATAAATGCTTTGTCCCTTTTTGTTTCCAGTTTTCATCATGTGAAAACTATGACAGTTGACCCAGTAATGTTCCAGTTTGTGTGAATGAAGTTGTTTGAGGTTTGGGTGTGCAGTGTAGTTTACAATGTTTCTGCAACAATGTAGTAGTTCAAAAGAATAAACTAAGTTCCTCACAGCTCTGCGTACTAGTATAGAGTCAGTAGTGACTTTATACTGTGTTGCTGTAAAATAAATGCACTGGCCCATATGAGGACATGCTTTCTTTAAAAATAACAAGTACATAACAGGAAAAAGCTTAGACCTGATTAGGATATAAACTAACTCGTCACAAAGGGCTAATAAGTTTCTACACAGTACCCAAAGATGCAAACATTCACAACTTGACCTTGAGTCGTGTTTACACTTCCTGTGAGGGTTTCTCTTCTATAGCACCTTTTATATTTAGAGCGACCACACGCCTCAAACTCGTCCTAAAACGCTTAAACACACCGAAGCGACAGGTAGTTTGATCGTAAACTTACCAAACCAAAAGCTGTTGCATTAAATAAAAAAAGTTTAGTTACGGAAACAAACACAATAAAACTTTAACACAACTTGGCACTAAAATAAACCCAACTCGGGTAGATTAGACTAAAATAAAACAAACAGTGCCCTCTGGTGGCTGAACTGCTACATTGTTGGCTGAGGGTTTTGTAATTTTCAGAGTTCCTTTGGATGCAAATCCTTAAATTATGAGGCTAATAAAACATAAATCATACTGACACAACTATTAAGGACACATGGAAACAAACTTGAATCAGATATTTTCTATGGAGCAGTAACTGTAATGCTTAAATCGGTTAATACATGAATTATACACTTAAAAAGCAGCTATAAAAATTTTATTGACTTCGTTTTGGTAGATTTTTGTTTTGTTTTATGAGAAATTCCTTATTAGATCCCGAGTTCCTTAAATTAGTCTAATTGTGAGTACTGATTTAGACATGATGATAATCTGTGAACTGTTTAAAACGGTCTTTACCAGCCTTTAAAGGTTATTTTTAAACTACTTTCTTTAATATCCTTTGTTTCCATCTTTTCTGTCATCATTTAAGAAAGCCTGCTGGGACGCCAGCGTACTCACTGATTATTGACCCTTTCTGTTTTCCCCCCCAGCTCAAAGGCAGCCAGGAGCCCAAGGCAAAGAAAAGCCGTCGGAGTCACACGGTTGAGCCCAAAGAAGAAGTCAGTGTAAGCAGCTGTTATATATTTTGTGTTCTTTGGCTGCAAACTGATTTATAACCTGATGCTATATGCTAAGTACATGGCATGAGCATGAGGGTGGAAATATTCTGATTTGGGGTTATGTAGAGGGGACACATGACATCTCACTAAATCCCAGCAAGCTGTGGGTGCAAATGTTGTGCAGGAAAGTGAAGTAAAAGAAATGAGTGGGTTCTTCAGGGCAGTGATCAAAAGCAGACTTTGAAATCCAGCATGAACCACTTCAGCATCGCTTGAAGCGATCCGCAGCAACGAGTGGGTGGAAATTTCTAAATCAAGAATGCAAAAGCTCCTCGGTGGTTGGAACAAACATTTGCAGACAGACAGGGTTTGTGCTCAAATTGCTTGAAGTTATTTTTGAGGAATAAATTTTTTTTAAATGCATTAATTTTTTCTCTCAAAGAGAAATCCAGGTTGATACTGATACTTCAGATTTTGTCTGTCCTGGATTGGAGCTGCAAGCTCTCAGCTCTCATGTTTTCTGGTTAGAGTGGCTTATAGCTGAGCAGGAACTACTGTAACCAGCTGCAGGCCAAGATGGAGGAATCTGTGTGACAGCTGGCACAGAAGCATCCTGCTGTCACTTCTTCTAAGAGACATCACATCCTTTCCCTTAGGACCCGGAGCCGGAGATGGAGGCCGTCAGCTCCAGCCAGGAGATCCCGGTGTCGTCGGCACCGCAGCAGCCAGAAAAGCTGTCGGTGTCCACGCAGACCAAGAAGGCCAACGGGGGGTCGCCGCGCACGCTGCATCGCGGCACGCAGACCAACAGCGATGGTGCCTGTCAGAACATGTGCCACGAGAAGTACACCAAGGTCTTCAACGACGTGAAGGAGATGATGAAGGCCGACAACAAGAGGGAGACTGAGAGGGTCGTCAGAGAAGCTCTGGAGAAGGTGCGTTTGTATGAAACGACTCGGGTTTGTCTTCTAATGATGGAGAGCACTTTGGACCAGTTCCAAACCTAAGTGTGCGTGTTCTCTACAGCTCCGTGCAGAGATGGAGGAGGAGAAACGCCAGGCGGTGAGTAAGGCGGTGGCTGGAGCTCAGGCGGAGATGGAGAGGAAATGTAAGCAGGTGAAGGAGAAGTGCAAAGAGGAGCTGGTGGAGGAGGTGAAGAAGCTGGTGGCTCAACACAAACAGCTCATCTCCCAGACCAAGAAGAAGCAGTGGGTGAGTTCAGTTAACCGAGAGCTTAAAGTGTGCCTGAATATAAAGAAGATTTCTTCTTTTATTAGTTATAAAAACGCACAAACACAATCTTCCAATTTTTTTTTTTTTTGTCCAAGATGATTTTCACAACCCAAAGAAATCCCAGTGTCAGTGATTTAAAACGCAGATTTAAGGTCATCACAAGAAAAAACCTGGAACCAGTGTATTATATATGTTTTATTATTATTATTATTATTATTATTATTATTATTATTATTATTATTATAGCTCCTTTTCCATTAGTACCTACTCGGAGCCGCTCAGTTCGCCGCTGTCTGAGCAGGTACTGAAATGTGACGGCGTCAGCCTGCATGCCACCGATTGGCTGGTCAGCAGCGTCACTCAAGCAGACATGCGAGCGTCTGGTTCTCTAAACCGCCATTTTTGAAAACCAGCTACGAGGGAAAAGGCTACAAAAAATGACGCCATGTTCGCAGAATCTGACGAAAATTCAGACAGAGCAGCGGGTATATTCTCACCTCGACGTCCACCTTTGCGTTCGAGCCACATAGCAAGTCGTGTTGCTATGACAACGACCACATTAGGAGGTACTAAATTGTAACGGAAGAACAGAGTAGGCACTAATAGAAAAAAGCAGCTGAGGTCTTGTTTACCTGTTTTTGTTTACCTTTGGCTGTTTCCTGTGCCTGCAGTGTTATAACTGCGAGGAGGAGGCCATGTACCACTGCTGCTGGAACACCTCGTACTGCTCCATCAAATGTCAGCAGGAGCACTGGCACGCCGACCACAAACGAACCTGCCGCAGGAAGAGATGAATGAACAAGCCCCGCCCCTACCCGACCTTACACAGCACGCCATTGGCTCTGTCCTCGCCTCCTCCTGTCAGTCAGTGTCTACAACAAACACAAACACTCTTCTCCCTCCTGCTTCTCGACTTGCCTTCCTGAAAACTTTGTGGACCCGATGGTTTTTTTGTGCGTGCGGAGCGGTTTTGTTTCTATTATTTAATGTACCCATTGTATTGATTTTACTTTCTACGCTTTTATTTTTTCTGAACAGTGAACAGTTTGTTCAACAGCATGACTCGAACGAGTTATGACCTTGTTTTTTCCCTCTTCTTTTTTTTTTTCTTTTTTTTACTGAAGTGCTAATTTTGTGTTGGAGAATGTGTTATTTAAGTGTGTAGGAACAGGTGAGCATTAACTGAATACATTTTATTACCTGACTTTTTAAAAGAAACCTTTTTCTTACTGTAAATGCAGCAAAGCGCACGCCGTCGATCCTACAGAACATTTAAAAAAAAAAGGTACCGTAAGCACCATCGCAGCATCAGACTGACTCCGCTTTCATACAGAAAACCGGTTTTAAAAAGGAAAAAAAACAACAAAAAAACATTAAATTGTGGATTAAAAGGCTCGCTGACTTTAATGCAATTTATTCTTTTCACGAATCTATTGCGGTGGATAGCACCTTTTACCATTTTTATCGAAAATTTTATTGTCCTAAAGTCACTTATTGGGAACAGGGTCAAAAAGTCGGCTTTAAAAGATGCCGACCAAAAAAAAAAAATCTTCCATGAGAGATTTTTATTGTAATTATGCACATTTTTGGTTTCTTTTTTTGGGGGGACTAGACTGTGTTTTTTTTTTATGAGTTGGATGAAACCAGGAAGTTTTGAGTTTGTACTGAAGCCGAGGGGATGTACAGCAATCTTTCCTGAGCTGGATCTTAGAGAGGTTACATGATTTGACAGTTTTGTTGTTGGGTGGTTTGTTGTTGGTTCTTTTTAGTTTTTTTGTTTGCACATTTCATTTTCTTAACAACCCAAATGCTTGTAATATTGCCAAAAAAAAGTCGCACCTTTTGATGAACCTACCTGAGAATATCTGGCGGCGACTCCTCTCCTCTCTTCGCCCTCCTGCAGTGTATTTAAAAAGGAAAAAAAAAAAGATGTATATTTTCCGGAGCGTCATCAGTGTCATTTTTCTAGTGACGTACACTCGAGATTCCTCATCATCTTTTTTCCCCCCTTTAATCTGAAGTGACTAGCTATGAGACTCTTTCACTGCGTATGCTGTAGTTGGTGGTCGGTGCCTGTTTCTTCTTCTCATCCTCTCACCCAGTGAGGCCACATGCATGTAGATAGTTTCATAGTTTTTTTTCATTCATTAAGGGAAAACAAGCAGGAAAAAACGACCAGACGTCTGGTCTCCATAAAGAAGTGATAATGGATGGACCAATATAAAAAATATGCAAATATGAATGATCAAACTTTTTCTTTTCCTCCCCCTGTGCTCAGTGTTGAGTGTTGATGTCTAATTACGGTGCTTAGAATCACTTTTATTTGAATTCTTTTGATGGGGCAATAAAATTGCCAGTTTTTAATGGATTTTTTTTTTTTGTTTGTTTTTTTGTTTGACTGTTTCTTCAGTTATGAAAGATGAGAGAAACTTGCTTTACCCCAAGTTGCCTTTTTCCTTTAACATATGAAAAATAAGACGCTGTGAATTCTCACATGGTGGGCAGCCCTGTAGTTTCAGTGCTGTTGGCTGTGAACGAAGCCTCCATCCTTGTATGCACTACGTGCTGTGTTTTAGCAGTCGAATGTTTGAAGAGATCAGCTTTCTCCAACAGCAACATGCAATATTTGTCCCAATGATCACCAGCTAATCAGGCTGTTACACTTTATTCTTTTGATTTTTTTCAAATAACAATAGAACATTTCTGTAACATTTGTTTGTCTGGTTTTTTTTTTGTTTTTTTTTTAAAGACAAAAAATAATTGTGGGGGTTTCCAGCTGTGAGTCACGAAAAGCTACACTAGTAGAAAATATAGAGCTGAATTGAGTTTAACAAGTCCGGTAATGTGCAGTGAACACACAGACTCTGTTAAATGGGTTTTACTTAATCGGGCCCATTTTTTTTTTTTTTTCAAAGAAGAAGATTTCTGATGTAACAAAGTGGTTAAAACTTGTTACTGTGCTGGATGTTTGTCTTCTTTATGAAACATCTGAGCGGTGCAAAAACACTGTCATAGAATCCTTATTTAATGTAGTAATTGTGACAAAATGCAACAACACAAACTAAAACGGAGCTTAAAATCTCTTCACTATAAAGTGCCTGTTTTGTTTGACCAGTTCACACAAATACTAAATAAACTACATACTTCTTACTTCTGTTACTTAAAAAATTACAAAAACACTTTAACAAAAAGGTAAATTTATTCACCAACCCTCAAAAACCGATTTGGTAATCAACATTTACTTTATGTGATCTGCACACTTCACTGCATGCTACCATGTAGGGCGACATTTTTATGAGCTCTTACTTTTTACCTTGAACAGCTTTTATTGTGAAATTGGAGGAAATGCATTTCATTAACAGGAAGTTTGATGGGTAGGCTGGTGTAGCTTTTATGTTTCTAAACACAGCTAAAGACATTAATAAAATCAAGATCTCGAATGTCTGCAGCAACAATCTCAAACATAACTTTTAATGATTTAAAAAAAAAAATTATTTATTTTTTTATTCGATGATCTTTTTGACTTTTTTGTGGGGAAACTGCATTCGGGTTTTGTTTTTGTTTTTTAACCATCAGATTAGTCCTGTTTACTAATCAGGAGACACAATTAAGACTTGTGTGAATTAATCACACGTCACCAGAGACGACTAAGATTTGTTGTCCCTGTGCAGTAGTTGCTCTGACAGATTGAAAGTGTGTAACACACAGACACAGCCTCACTAATGAGATTCATTCATTGTTGATTTTACCGTTTACTGAATTTGTTGATAATGAACCTAACCCGTGATTTTTGGGCTGCCCACTATTAGAGAATTTACGGTAACGGTTGTTCCTCTGAAACGTCCCTCAGACATGAAAACTCATTAAATCCTTTATGATGTGATGTGTGCGTTACTCCTGTCATGTTCTCATAGCTCACAGTTCTCATCTTCAGTGCACTACGTGTAAATAAAACATCCTTCTGTCCCCTCCGTCATCTTATTTGTACATTGTAAATGATTTTTTCCCCCTGCGGATGACTGTTAGTTGTAGTTTTTTACAATCATATCAGGTGTGTGTGTGTGTGTGTGTGAGTGTGAGTGTGAGTGAGAGAGAGAGAGAGAGAGAGATTTAGTTATTGTTCTTTTAAGCTTCTTCAGTGTGTCTCAACATTTCAGCATCTCTTTTTAAAGCAGACCTTTTCCAAACCGGAGGCGGGGTTTGTGTTACACGTGACCTGCGAGGCTGCAGCTTTGATTTTTTTTTTTTATTATTGTTTTTATATTTGTCCATCCAGCCATGAAGCTTTCGACGTGATTTTTTTATGTTAAACCTTTCTTTTTCTGGCCACGTGTAAAGCTTTGATGCCATTCCAGTTTGCATTTCTGCTTTTTGAACTGCATGAGTAAAGGTGTACCTCCAGCTCCTCGTTCGGTTTCTTCCCCTCACGTAAACAAAAAAGGCGTGATTGCACTCCTTCAGAGTAACGCAATATGACAATGATTTATATCCCCCCTCTCTCGATGCTGTTTTCAGCTTGAATAAGAGTGAATCGATCAAATTGTCCAATCATATTTGCCTTTTCGCTGTTCTTATTTCGGGATATTTTGGTACATGCTGTGTACTACATGGATCCTCTTTGTACTTTAAGTACTTTTAGCAGGAATAAAATCAGTGTAAAGGTTTCTTTGTTCTCACTTCCTGTTGTTCTGTCCATATGTAAACTTTTACTCGTGGCTTAACATTTTCTATGCTCTTTTGTTTTCTCCCTTTTTCTTTGACACTTTAGCTAGCAATATGTATATAAATATATTCTATGTGCTAACATGGAGGAAATAAATGTATCAACAAGTTCTCCAGAGTCTGTTTTGGTTTCTTTTGAGGATATGATGCATTTCATAATGCAGGTTGTATCTAAGAAATGCATTTTTACTTTAGTTTAATATTGTTTACTTGTTTACCAGTAAGTTACTCTGTATGATGCTGATTAACTGTAAATGGTTCCTATTTAAAAGACTGTTTCTTTAAACTCAGATTTCCAAATGTGGCTGAAGGAAAAACCAACATCAAGACATTAAAGGTAAGAATGATATTAAGTGATATAATTCCCACGTCAGTAATATTTAGGTGATCAGTATTAAGAGTTTAGATAGCAGCAGTGCACAGAACGGCAAATGTGCAGCACTTTGCAAACCCCTTGGCCCACCGCTCATTTTAGATTTTGCTTTTGGTTTGGTTGCAGTGGTTTATTGAAATGAAAATGCACTGTATAAGCTAAAAGAGTTTTGTACGATTCTAACGAACTTGGAAGTCTTTGTTTGAACACGTATTTTGTATGACCACCTTTATTCTTCATCATTACCTTTGCTTTGCTATCCAGACATGATTTTACTGCACTGGAAAAGTGTTTGGGATCACTGTCATCGTGAAAATAACCCGATGGTCGTGCTTGGTGGACAAAAGTCTGACTATAAAATTTGTGTTCTTATTGACGAGATCTCGAACACCGCGGGCTGAAGCAGCAAAAATTCACAACAGAGTCTCCTGTTTTACAGATACTGTTGTACCTTTTGTCCTGACGGTGATTCGAACCAAACTTTCACGTTTGGATTCATTGTTCCATCGTGATGTAGTGTAACTAATAAGCATTCACACATTCACACTCCGATGAACGCATCGGAGGGCAATTTGGGGTTAGTCTCTTGCCCAAGGATATTTGGCATGCAGAGTGGTGGTTCGATTCCTGGCTCCTCCAACCTTCCAATCAGTAGCTGATCTGCTCAGTGTTGCCAACTTAGAGACTTTGTCACTATATTTAGCAAGTTTTCAGAGCCCCTTAGCGACTTTTTTTTCTAAAAAGCGACTAGCAACAAATCTGGCTACTTTTTCTGGTGTTACTAGAGACTTATGACGACTTTTTGACGTGAAAGCGCGTATCGCTTTCACTCTCAACAAGCAGCGGTGCTGCCGTGGGCACCTCACCCGTGCCAAAGCGCTCACGGGCGGAGGATAGTCCTCCCCCAGCTGCTATCAGGGCAGGAGATGTTCACCCATGCTTCCAGACTGCAAATGAATCGCTTATGAGCAAAGCCGCTGCTCCGCACTGACTGTAACGCAGTCAGTTCTTCTTTTACTGTTATGTTGTTTTGTGGATCACAAGGTTTAAAACTACTTATAAACACACAAAGTAACTCCACCAGAGTGCCAATCTCGGGTCACTTTTGCCAGTCCAGGCCCGGATAAAGGAACAGGGTTGGAATTGTGACATTAAAAAAAAATTGCTAAAAGAAATTTAATTTGTAGTTCTAAATAAATTTTAAATTCGTTTAAGACGTTTTTTACTCACTCTCTCTTCCACGATGTTATTTCTCTCTCCAACAACATAGGTTACAATTACATTAGCATGACCAATTATGCAAATTAGGCGATGACGTCATTTAGTGACTTCTAGCGACTTTTAAGACAGCCAATAGCGATTTTCCTTACTGAGGAGTTAGCAACACTGGATCTGCTCCACTACCTGAGCCACCGCTATCCGATTGTTAAGTGATGACGTGACGAATCCTACTTCCGGGCCCAAAGTAGTCTGCGTTTAATATGGCTTTTGTGTTGTTAACATGTTTAATGTTATATATTTTATTCGATTTAATCTCAAAAAGCTCCTAAAACAGTCAGTGATCACTGTTGACCTCCCTCGGCTTTTATTACCACTAATCATTTATTTAAGCTCAGTTTTTAAAACCTTATGATGTAACTACAGCCCAGCCCATGCAGCAGTACATGAATGACTAACCTCGTATTGTGGATGGATTATCTCAGTTGTTCTCCTGGCTGAAGTTTGGTCCTTTTACAGCATCCTGCCATGCGATTACATTTTGTTCCTGACTACCGAGAACACTCACGTTAACTTTTATCCAGTGGAAAAAAAGTTAGCTTGTTTATATTATGCTAACATAGCTATGTCGCTAGCGGTCACGTAGCAAATCATATACCAGCTAGCCAAACTTCAGTAACCCTACAAACGTCACTGCTGTTTAGTTTTCTGTCTTCATTTATGCTGGAAGTGATAAAAGCTGTACGTTTTAATTTGTTTCCAAAACCCCGCAATCAGGACATGCTATATTGTATTTAGATAGAAGCTAGCGAGCTAACTTCCTGCTAAACTCCGTTAAATGTCATAAATTCCGTTTTCATGGATGCCTGGATGTTAAACTCAATTGTTACACCTGGTAGAGCAGAACGCTGATCATTTTATTAAAGATGAAAGACTTTAGACAGTTTTTCAACTCTCAGTAATGCCATAGTGATCGTTTGATATATGGACCTGCAGCGGAGTTTAGACCCAGACACGGCTAGTGACGTCAGACTGAACAATCGGATGGTTGGCGTTTTTCATGGATTGAGGAGGGAACAGTGTTTTAGCAACAAGCTGCTAGTAAAACTTCCCAAAAGACAAAGGCTCTTTGCAAAGTTGTGTTGCCGGGAGAACTGTAGCTCAAGGCCACTTTAAAGAATTAAACATGTTTGTCTCCAAAATACAGAGCGACCTGCGCGACTTTTGCACAATACTATAGTTTCATGTTGTATAGCTTCTCAGATGTAATTAAGAATGTGGAATATTCATGAAAGTTTTCAATCAGCAACATTTTAAAACTCAGGAATCACCGTGTGTGATGCATACAGCAACAATGTTGCAGAACAGTAAATAAGACAAACATCGAATTCTTGTCAAAATTGTTGAAATGTTTATTTAACTGAAAGATTTTATGTCAACTCAAATAAGACATTTTTAAACCTTAAAAAAGGGACATACATTTTGCCGATTAAAGAAAGAAAAACAAACTCTGAAGAAAGTGCTTTTTTTACTTTAAAAAAATCCTGGCATTGAAACTAGCACATTCTCCGCCAAAGACGATGAAGAAGGCCCTCCTGCTCCGACCTCCCCGCAGCTCTAACGAGTTAAAGGGTCTCTGGTAAAAACACCTTTCTTCCTGTTGTGACATCACTGTATGAGCCCTGATTGATCAGTCCGTGTAAAAATATGAAGGACTTCCCACTTTGATATTTACAACTGCCACTTTGGGGTGATTCGCCTTTTCCGAGCCGGGGGTGATAAAACGAGTCCAACGAGCGCTGCTGACGGTCTGTCTGAAGGAACGTTTCGGTCCAGCTGTGAGAGTTTGAAAAGCGACAGATGTTCCTACTTAACATTTTAAAGATCAGTAAACCTGTTTGTTCCCAGAGAAACGTGACGCGTGAAGAGTTCTGACCCAAAGGCGCCAACCACACCAAAAACAAGCCTGTTGTAATTTCCTCTAGTCGCCACTAGATGGCAACGAATCTCCTGACTCAGATGATGCATTTTCAAAAAACGTTTGTTATAAATTATTGGACTGCATTAGTCACGAGATCTGTAGTTCCAAACTGAAGGGGGCTAAAATGTAAACACAGCAACATACTGATACTAGTGCCAAATATCGATATTTTTAGTGAAATACTTTGAATCAGTCTTCATTCTCCTGCTGATGCTTATAAACGAGGGGGACGTGATGCCACAGACTTTATTGTTACTGTTAACAGCAACGTAATGTGCCACTATCATATCATAATTTACTTTTCAATCCCCGCCTCTTAATCCCTGCTATCAAACCACTTTCCCACTCTCATGGTCTGTCTGAAGGAAATCATGTCTTTGTAATTCTTGAGAGCGATACTGATATTTGAGGATTTAACAAACAGATTTCACTATTCTCCAGCCCGGATCAGCTGACTCATCCATATGTATGGAGGGCATTTCTCCCAGCTCTTCTTTAATTTTCATGGATCAGTATATCTAAAACGCTCCTACTGATAAATTGGCAAACGTGATAAATTTGTCAGGATCTAAAATTTACAACTTTACTTTGACTGAGAGACCGTACGAGACATTTAGGCTTTTAAAATGATTAAAAAGTCAACAAAACAAAGTTGTAGATGAATTTTCCATTATTTACTATTAATCTAAAATGCTCACATTAGCTACAGATATCCTGGTTACTGCGATGAACTTCACTGTAACAGCCCTGACACTCAATGCTCTCCATCCCCTTGTAGGCAAATAATTATCCCCGTGACTGAGCTGGAAAAGTTGCCCCAATAATAGATGGAAATCTAAAATAAAGGCAAATTCAAACAGAGCAACATTCAATAGAACCTAAACTTCTGATTCTTTACATTTCTGGCAAAGTTTTACTTTCATCCTCTGTTATTAGAAAAAGAGCCGACTATAAAAAATAACTTTTGGGAACTTTTAGGGATTTGTTTTAATATTTAAGAGCATAAAAACAACGTTTCTGTTTATTCCCAGGACAGGATCAGAACTCTTCACACGAAAGCTGGAATAAAACTCGGAGCATCGCTTTTATAATTTCCATTTGACCGACACATTTCAGACCAACGTGCAGACGCACGGCCCCTCATCCTTCTGCTTTTGTCTGGGATTAGTCCTTACGCTCATCTTCAATATAATCTATAATCATATATTTCTATTTTCAATAATAGGCTTGATGTGAGTTTGTTTCACTCAAGATAATACAATGCTTTTTTCTTTTTCGTAATATTAGCAAATATTCAAGAGCAAAACATTCTCGAATGTCTCGTCATATACTTCTAACAGAGAAACAAAATAAATTAAATCAGTTTCTGTTTGTACATACTTACATGATATGAATTTGTGTTTAGCTTCGGTCGAAGCCGTTAGTTTGTACGGAAAATTAAACTGAGTTGAAGGCTGCAGCTGTTAGTATATGAAAATTAGCACGCCGACTTTAGCTGAGATGGGGCTTCAGAAAATAACGATTCCAAACAAAACAAGA